AATTAGTTCATTCAGTTCATTCAAATATCTTGTTCATTTTTCATCCAAAATACTTCTTGCTAACACGAGACCTTCTGAACACTTTATTTAGTTGTTTGCTGCATTAGGTAAAAATAAAATCTTATAAAGCTAAAACCATACCCACCAGCAACCAAGAGAACTCCCAAAAGTGAAAATTGTGTGTCCAAACTAGAACACTAGACATAATCCATCAAATTAGTATATCTCACTAGAGAAAAAAGGAAATAAAATGTTACAGGATGGAAATGTAATTTAATCACTGAATGAACACTTTATCAGTTTATTTCAACCTTAAGAGGAGAAAAAAGAGAGACAGCAACCCAGGTGGTTAAATTGTAATGCAGTTGAAATTCCATCACCCATGAAAACTGTAATTGGGATTCTACTTTTGGATCTGGCCAGCCCAGAAACAGATGTGTGTTCCAATGAGGCTCACAAACTGTTTCTCCTGGAGAAGAGCTCTTTACAGTGAAACAGGGGTTTCAACTGGTTTCAACTCCAAAGAAGAGACCAGACTAAATTGAGTGTAATTGTTCCAAGAGTTTAGAATTCCCAAGTCGGACTGAAATGAAATGTGTGGTTCTCATTTTACTGCCTTGAAAAAGAAGACAGTGTGATTCTTCTTTACTGTCCTTTAAAAGAAGGTTCCAAAAACAAATCTTTTTAAGTTGAGATCCAACAGTTTAACCAAAAATATCTCAGCCACAGGACATTTCTTCAGTGAGTGAGGCTATAGCTCAGGCATCAAGGTCAAGGGGAAGTCCACCACCCTTTTGTGCGTAATTTCCTCCCAACCATTGAAAGAAGAGAATCAAATGTTTCTCATTACAAAGCCTGTCTGGATGCACAGTCCTCTCAACTTGAGTTCCTCAGGCACATTTTGGCAAGATTCTAAATTCATGTTATCAGCATAACAGGGAGCAGGTATAGTTTCTTCTGAAAAGAAACCTAGGCCAATGTGACTCTAACTGGGTTAACCCATGCCAGGAAATCTAGAGCGTGCTTTAACCTGAACTACGGTTCAATTAAGTAAATTCCATCCTTTTTCATGGAAGTCAGGAAACAAGCAAACACAGTTGTCAGTGAGTAGGATTCGTCTATCAGGACTTAGGGGTAGGTTAAACAGAAGGCTTGTGCCAATGTTAGACAGGCACATTTTACTTCTAGCCAATATTTCTTCAAACAAGATTCCACCCTCACCTTTGCCTCCATCTCTCCTGACTTAGAGAGCCCGACTCCCTTCAACCAAAACAAAACTGTAGCTTTAAAAGCCCCTCTGAAACCTGTAGGACAAGTTAGGATATCTTCAGGAGGGACAAAGCTCTGTCCTCTTCCCTTGGGTTTGCTTTTCTTTCCACTTTGCCAAAAAGTAACCACCTTTCCCAGGAAAGTTATTACAAGCCACTCTGCGCACTTCCTCAAATAATGAATGCAACAAAATTCTGTCTTTATTCATTTGAAGCAAAAGCTGGCCTTCTTTACATAGACTCTGTTTTCAATAAACCCTTATTGATGTGCATCCATTCAAGAGAATAAAATGAATACGGTGGACAAAAGCTGGCACAGTACAAAGATCAGATGTCCAGATCATATCTCTTCGGTGTGCACTTTAAAATAGCTCATGCACAGAAACATACATGTTCTGCCATCTGCATTTTTTTTCCTGGAAAAATTCATAAAAGACTCTAACAGTGCTCACTCTAAAAGACGCATAAAAAAGACAATCAGAAACTTTCACTTTCATTTCAATGTTTCTGCACCTCTTCAATTTTCTAATGATGTACATATATTACCTTCATTCTTTCACCGAATGAAAGGGTTATTTGAGTGATTATATGTCACTTTTGTTTATTTTCTTTTGGTACTTCTCTATATTTTTTTATACTTAATCTTAAATTAAAAAAAAATAAAAGGCAGGTGCTAGTGCAAAGACAAATTGCCTTTGGAGAGGGATTCTTTCTCAAATTATTCTACCTGATACGTTACTATGAAATTTGATTGAGCCCCTTTACCTCCACAGAACCATATGCACCTCAGGGGAAAAACGCAATATTCCAATGGGATCTTTCGAAAAACGGTTAAGTTCAGGGTCCTCTAGTAACCACAGAAATGCTTCCCCAACCCTTTAACAGCAAAGCAAAGGGTTTACCTCCAGGGAGGTAAAGCAAAACCAGTCTTCCTCCAGGCCAGGTGACTGCAGCTGTCCCCAACTGGGGGGGGGGGGAGAATTTTAGAAACCCAGTGCTGAGTGTCTGGGAGAGATCACAGGCCGCTGAGCCCTACGGAAGAGCAGGGATTTGATTTAAGCTTACTGGGACTTCCAGCAATTGCAGAGACAAGGGACAGTCCTACATTTCCCACCTGTGATGTCAAAGTTCACTGCCCAGCCTCTGTGAATGTTCACCCCAGAGCTAAGGAAGCCACCTCTAGCCTGGGATGTGGGGACCACAGGAGATCCATCTGGACAGTGCCTCCCCTGTAAGTCTCAGTGACAACACAGATACTTTCCATCTTTCCTGGGCTGCTTTTCCACCTTTCTCAACCTTCACCCTAGTATGCCGAAACACAGAAGTAGAAAGCAGCAAGGACTGGAATGGTGACAACCAAGACAGAAGCTAACTGTTCAGATTATTCTCATATCTTCAGGGGGAAAGAGGGTGTAATCCTTCTTTCCTGTCCAAACAAGCCAGTGCTGCTCTAGACAGCAAGGAGGGATGCATGGAAATCCGGTCAATGAAGGAACATATAAAGCTCCTCTAAGCACCTAAGCACAAATTGTGGGGATGGACAACTTGAGAGCATGTTTCTTTCTCATACTTTATTCCTGTGCTCATAATGACCAACTTTCTCTACAAGAAGCACTATGCTGGCAGAGAAGGCTGAGAGCCCAGGCTCAATTTCCAAGCCCCAATCCTGGCTCTATGGTCAGAAGGTGTCACCAGGTTCCTGTGCCCAAGCCCTGTGACTTATATCTTGCTACGTGGTATAGAGAAAACAAACCAAGTCACTAGCCCTTAATATTCCTGTCTATGCAATGTAACCTTTTTAAAGGCAATGGACTTTGAAAATGTGGGAAGATGTGTCTCCAAATTTAAAGAAAGAAAACCAATTTCTTTTGTGATGATACCTTTAGCAGGTGCTATAATAATGAGATGAAATGAAAACTATCCACTGGTTCCTTCCATATGTCCAAGTAGGCAACTCCACTAACAAATAAGCCTCAAATCAAAAATCTCATCCATCAGTTTTAGAAAGCCAAACACAGGAAAGAAAAAGAAAACAATTAGCCAGAAATTCTTGAGTTATTGTGAAGCCAAAGAGAAATTTCTTTAACTTTCAAATGTTCTGAAAAAGTCTTCAGTTGTTCTCACTGCCTTTGTCCACTCCATTCCTTGAAGAACTAAGTTCATGTTAGCATGATTTCTGTATATTGCCTCCCTATCTCAGTTCCCCAAGGCTAAACAGGAATCACTAGATGTGCCCCTCCCCTCCCACTTTCTCTTCCACCTCAGGCAGCACCTGTAAATACTCATGAGTAAACAAAGGACCCCCCCATTCCCAACTGCTCTCACTCCTTCCAGAAACCCAGGGGCTGGAGGAGGTGAGGGGTACCGACACTCTACCTACATCTCCAGATTGAATGCAGACTGGCTCACTCTTAAAAAGCTTACTTCAGATGATTTCCTCTGTTCAAAGGCAGCCATTTTACCAGGTGACATCAGATTCTCACTACCCCATTTTTATGACTAAAACATGGCCGTTTGGTGTCCAGGTTCCGGCCACTAGTGAGCCTGAACTTGGGAGCATTTAACAGTTCTATGTCCATCTCTAGAAGATACTCTGGGTTTTTCTCATTCCCTCTTGCATACCAGAAGCCAGATTGCACCTTTGTATAGCCGGAAGCATTTTGTGGTTTAAATTAACAAAAGTGCTGACCCCTGAATACCAAAAACAGCGCTAATCTCTTCACCATGTGTCAGGTCCCCTGGTGTGGAGGAGTGGGACAGGGAGCATCTCCCCTCTCCCACTGGCCCTGGGATTTTGAACTACAAAAAAATATCAGTGGCCCCAATTCCCCTGTTCCTTACCCAGTCTTCTCTGGGGTGACTTAATTTCAGAGGAAGCGAAGAGAAATCCAGCCACTGAGCTGAGAAAATACAGATTTCCAGAAAGCTATCCTCAGGGGGAGGAGGGAAAACAGTTCATAGGGATTTTGTTCAGGTTCGTGATTATAAAAATGTATGATTAAAGATTGTGGCCTCTTCGGCCAATCCTGGGCTCATGTTCCTTCTGTGAAGACTGGGGTCTGGAAGGGGTGGAAGCTCTCAGAGGAGGGGTGCTTTGGGGCTCTGTGGGAGAGGGAGGGGGTAAGTGAAGCAGGTCCAAAGAAAAGAAAGCCATTAACTATAAAGGTGAAAATGAGAGGCTACAGGGGGCTTGGCCACAAAAACTTAAGCACCGTAAAAAGGGCAAAGGAGGGGCAGCGAAAAAGGCTGGAGCTAAAGGGAAGAAAAACAGAGGCTGCGAGAAGGAAGAGCTAAGTGAGAGGTAGGATCACGGACCGGTAAGAGGGACCGAAGGGTAGGAGTAGAGGAGTGAAGGCCAGAGGAATCGGAGGTAACAGACAATTCCGGGAGAAGTAAGACACGTTGTAGAATGGACACTTGAGGCTGGTAGGCTCCGAGAGGGAGCAAGGATCGCGACTGTGTGCAACAATCTAAAGCCAAAGTTCATAAAAGCCTAAAATCCCGGCCAATTAAGAGGCGCGACCCGCCCTGCCCGAGGACAGATTGAGGCCTGTGTGGCTGGCGGCGGGCGCCCCGCGGGGCGGACTCGGCACCTCCTCAGAGAGTCCTGGGGTCCCGCGCGGAGGTGGAGCTGCAGGGCGGAGCTGCTGCGCTGCGCGCCGCCGAGGTCCCCGGGCGGATCTGCCGCCTCCTCCGGGCCGAGGCTCGGGCTCCGCCTGGGCAGCGCTGCCCCTAGGAGGTCGAGGCCGGGATGGACAGTCCGTGTAAGCTACTGAGGCCATCAGGGGCCTTGCCGCCGGGGCTGGGCGGCTTCCGGTCGGTCACTGCGGGAGGAAGCACAAGGACGTCGGTCACTGCTTTGAACGGTTCTGGACGCGAGACCCGGGGGCCCAGAGCTACCGCAAGACTGAGAGGGAGGGGACGTCGTGAGTATCCCGGGAACGAAAGCGGAACGCAAACGACGGAACGCAAAGCGCTAGCGCTGGAGGCTTCAGGAATCTGGAAGAAGCTGAGGCTCGCGCTCTACCAGGGCCCCACTGGCTGCTCCGTGTGCCGGCCACTATTCCGGACAGCTCTGGCAAGTGGCTCTCCTGGCGAGGCCATTTTGCTAATGCCCCTTAAGCCGCAGGTCAGCTGCAATTATCCTTGTCCAGGGCCAAGAGCCCCCAGGTCAGATCCAAGACTTCTGAGGAGGGGAGCAGGGGGCTGAGCTCTGAGCACCCCTCCTTCTGACCCCCTCAGCCACCCATTCATCCCAGACCCCAGCTGAATACGCAAGTCTGGAAACTGCAGCTGATCAGGTCCTCTGTGCCTCCACGGAGTTTGGGAAGTTTAGCGCTGACAGGAGAAAATCTAGAGGGTGGAGGGTCAACAAAGATGCCCCAGTGGAAGGCCAAGGACGGCCTGAATGCCTCCAACACGGAAGAGGAGGTGTCCTTGAAGTGGACTGCAGACTTCATTTTGCCCCCAGGCTAAGGGATCCAGCCGTGCTCACCACTGCAGCACAGCACGTCCTGGGGCCTCTGGGCCTCTGGATTAAGTGACAGTGAATTTGCCAGATCAGGCGGCATTCTGTGCCTTGCTCTATTATTTTGGGTTTGGGGAAGAGACCCAAGTTTTGCTACTGGACGCCAGGAAAGTGACGGCAGGATTGCACAATCTCTGTTTTCTCTTTCCAAGTGCAGGGCTGCACAGCTTCTCCTGCAGTATGAGGTATAAGCTTTTTCATACCTAAAAAAACGCCAATTTTCAACTTTCTCCTCCCTCGCCCCCACTCCAACAAGTCCTTCTTTAAAAGAGGAGTCTGAGCGCCTCACTTTGATGGGAGGGAAAGCTCTGAAAGTTATTCCCTGCTGCTGCGGGTGCCCCAACCCCAAGCACTGGTGTTGCTGTGGCTGCCAAGCTGGGCCCCACACCTCTGCAAGAGACATGCAGAAACATAAGGACATCTGGTTTGGGAAGAGTCTCAAAGGGGTCTGAAGAACTTTCCAGAACAGTGAACCCTCCCCTTACTGCTCCTCTTTCCTAAACACGAATGTGTCCCCTCAGCCTTCACAGAGTTTAGATCTTTTCTTCCCACCCTGTGCACACACTTAGTGGTGAGGACATGTTTGGAAAACACTGAAGAGATGATGTTTCAGCCAATGGCTGGCTATTTAGAAACAAGGGAGAAAATGAAGCTGTGAAAAATAAGCCCGGGGAATCCCAGAAGGAGATCCCACCCCCACTCCACAGGGACAAACCTCCTTCGGTAGAGGAGCTTGGTAGAGGAGCTTTGTCCTGGCCAGCCTTCCCACTTTACCTGCAGGACCCTGAGCCACCCAACTGTGTATTTCCTGGAGTCTTCTCAAGCATGGACCCCCTAAGGCATTCTGCAGGCTCATTTTATCTTAAGGGACAGCCGTGGGGACAAGTGTTTTTTTAAATATTGGGACTGCATTTTAAGAGCCACTGGAATCCTAAGAGGCAAAGACACTGGGGTATAGGGGGAGGTGAAAAGGGGGCCTCCAGGAAGAACAAGCCCAATACAGGGGATGGTCAGCTAGGTGGCTCCAGGTCCTAGTGCTCACTGGCAAAATTCACTTTTGAGGATCGACCCTTTGAGAATTAATCCAGAGCAGAGATTACTGGAATGACATGATTAGCTATCATTAATACATATAAAATACACTTGCTTTGAAAAGATGCAATTTCTTATAGTTTGGTTTTCAAAGCTCTAGTCTTTCCAAAGTCCCACTGGGAGGATTTTAGAATCATGAGGCTTTGGTGGTTTCTGAAAACACACTGTAAATACCAGTAGTAGTGTGGGAGCATCTGTCTGTGGGCATGGGGAGTGCAGGAGACAGTCTCACCCTGTGAAATGACATTTGGATTGGCATGGGAATACACCGAGGTTCACAGTCCCTACATCTGTAGATGAACTGTAATCTCTTAGTTCCTAAGAATAAAAGTTTCCTTTCATGGATGGGACATGTTAATCATACTTTCTTGCTTACATAGTAGGGAATCTAGACACACTACCAATATAAAGCGAATAAATTACAATGCAAAGTTTGGCATTTGATTGGGTTTCTTCTATGGAAAATGTTAATATCCATTTTTATCTGATTTGAAGAACACACACATATATACCAATATATATGTAAATATTGTATACAGCATTATGTGTTCTGCATGTATGCTCTAGATGATCAAAGTATCTGGTTTTTACTGAGCATCCATAACACTAAAGTACTTTCAGTAAAGGAAATTTTATCTACTAAAAAAATTCAGTAAAATTTTTTAATTCAGTAAATGTTATTCCTACCATTCTTATGAGCTGAAGAACAGCTAATGATAGTGAAGTAACTTACTGAAATCATTTCTTTGAAGGTAATTTCTGAAGCAGTAACTAGAAAAATTCATATTGGCTTGTTTCACAATTTTGCGACAATCAAGTATGGGGGGAGTTCTTTGAAGTCAGCTTTTCTGACAGTAAGAAGAATAAAATTTCAAAATTTGAAGAATAAAATTCCAGGTAAGTATGCCAGTCTCACTGCTTTTATGTGTCCATTTAAATACACTCATATGCCAGCTTGAGAAATCATTTTCAGTGATGTGTCTGATTTACTAATGGTGTTTTAAAGAACTATAAGGATCAGGAAATTAAGTTATTAATTTAATAACTAATGCAGCTAAACTGTTTCAGGTTTTGAAAATGGATGGGTTGTTTCATAATAGGAAGCTAATGTCATAACATAAGGAGCATAAATACCCATGACATTCAATGGCTGTATTTCTGAAAGCAAAGTACCTTTTACAGATGATCAACTACCAATGAGTCGTTCTAAATATTGAATCTCCCCCACTGAACTAATTAGAATTAGTTTAGAATACAAAATTGCATGTTTTACCCTTGGGTTATTACCTGAAGGTCAAAATTTGTTTCTAATATTAAGTTTGAAATGCTCCAGGACACAGTGTCTCTTTTAGAAAAGAATATTGCTCAGGAAAAATGTCTGACCCTTTTTCTAAATCTTGCTTCTTCTGGAGACTAGCCCAGGAGAAATAATTCAAGTGTAGATGCACTTTTCTAGTTCAGATGAGCCTGTTTAGTTTAGTTAAATGACTTCTGTAATGAGGGAAATTCCGTGTCAAGTTCTAATTCAACAATTAACTTAGTAGCTAAGAAACCTGGTAGATTCACAGCCAAGGACAAAGCCCCTAAGCAAAAAAAAAAAAAAAAGTAAAAATGGCCCTCCCTGATCCCTTAGAGAGATAGAATAAATGCCACAGAATCTTATGAGACC